TAGGTATAGGACGCACAAGAGCCCTTTTCCAAAGATGGGGAACTACGCAGTTTTCAATCGTATAATTAACTAGATGTACAATGGCTGGTAGGACATCTGGAGAACATAATTTCGACATTTGAAGTGATATTTGATCGATACCAACCGCATTTGAGTGAATAGAATTGATGGCACGTATAATCTTTTCTGTACTGAACTTGAATACACCAGATATCAACATAATTCTTTCTTTAAAAACTTTTCGCATGTTTTATGAATTACTTATGCAAATCTTAAACGTCAAAATATTGAATAAATCACATATCGCTCGCATGTCGAAGTTTTCGATCCAACATTTGACAAATTTCGACCCCTAATAAAAAGAAGAGTATTTCTCACATGAACATAAAGAAAAAGTTAATTCGAAGCGCTAAGGACTTCAAAATTCAACGCCGCTTTAATGGAATAGATACCTCTATGTGTAACTGGATTAAATATTTCAGAAAACACGATTTTCCAGGCGCTCGGAATGTGGTTTTTTTAAATTTTCCAAGTTCGGTACAAACAGAAAAAGTTGAATTTTTCATAAATGATAGAACTCATTGAGTTCTTTAAAATGATATATAACACTTCTGGTTGTACTCTTGGGTCGCTAAAAAATCAATATTATCCGATATATCGAAAATATACGATCCTTTAGGGTTGACCAGTCCATGCACAATAATAGGGAAGGTTCTTGTTCAAAAATTATGGGAATGGGCGCTGGGGGCTTGCATTTATTTAAGGAGAGAGAACTCTGATGGAGAAGTTAAAGTAAAACACGTAAAACACTGGTCGAAAACAAAAGTTGCACCTTGGCAAACACTGACCATTCCACGCTTAGAACTACGCAATGCATTTTTATTTTAACAAAGTTAGTAAATGTAGTTATAAATGCTTTAGAGACCGACATTAAATGCTTTCTGTGTACTGATTGTATTTTGAATAAAAATAGTCAATACATAAAATGAAAAATCGCATTGTAAAATTAGCACCCTTTATCGATTCTGATAATATTATCAGGGTGGGGGGAAGGTTTAAGAATTTTCAGTTAACCTATACCATAATAAGTACCCGGAATTTGCGTCCCAAAGGGTCACTCCAGTGTCTCCATTTTTTATCATAGGAGTGGATTACGCAGGGCCGTTTCAAATAACAAATCTTATTTCTTAAATAACGGTGAAAGTGCAGGAATCAGCTAAATAATGGTTGTTTTATGCAAATGTAACCTTAAATATTTAAATGAATGTTACTTCAACTAAAAATTTTGACCCAAAAGGCACCGTAATCGGAAGACCGTTAGTGATGCCTCCGGATCCAAGCGTGCTACACTTTCCACTCAATAAACTGTCTAGATACCAGCAAGGTGTGCGGTAAATTCGCCCCGGAAGACTCGCCCCGGTAAATTCGCCCCCGGAATTTTCGCCCCGACAAATTCGCCCCCATAGCATTCGCCCCATAACATTTATTAACCCTCGGAAGTAATAGGTTGGTTTAAATTAATTAAATAAATATTTGCAAAAATTACGATATTTGGAACTCAATACGGCGAGACTCGAAATTGTTCATATTCAATCGTCTCTCACCTGTAAAACGCTGATTCAACGCTTCAACGTCAACCGTATGTTTGCAATACATTTTACAACAAATTGCATTTACAAAGGAGTCTAATTGCTCAGCCATTTATGGATGTATTGAAATGTTTTTGGCATCAATGTATAAACAAAGGACCTTAGACTTACATTTGAAAATTGGTCCAGATTTGATGTAAATTTGTGTTGAAAAACACCAACATGGACGAAGTTTGCTGAAGTATCAAATCATAAATAAAATAATCTAAAAAAATCTAACTCCAAACATCCCATTTCTTTAAATATAAAAAAAAGTTTGCTTATATATTTATTAGTTAAGTAGCAATTAGTCTGCTACGGTACTCTTGTACTCCTTCCAAATTCAGCCCGTCGGATCAGCCTTAAATTTGAGAATTTTGGTAAAAAAGGTGCAAATGCCATAAAAGTTTTAAAATGTCCAAAGTATCCACTTGAGATCAAAAAATGTTGAACGTTGACCATTTACCAAAAATTTAGACCTTAAAAAGACAATGAATTTAGTATATACTTTGTGCCCTACTATTATGTATAAAAATGACAATACAGACACGTTTTTATTACCAGAGTTGGACTGGGTCAAGCATAGAGTGACCCAGTGACCCGGTGACCCAGTTAGTTTACTGACTCAGTGACCCGGTGACCCAGTGACCCGGTGACCCAGTTGACCCGGTGACCCAGTTTGACCCGGTGACCCAGCTTGACCCGGTGACCCAGCTTGACCCAGTTTGACCCAGTGACCCAGCTTGACCCGGTGACCCAGCTTGACCCAGTTTGACCCGGTGACCCAGCTTGACCCAGTGACCCAGCTTGACCCGGTGACCTAGCTTGACCCAGTTTGACCCGGTGACCCAGCTTGACCCGGTGACTCAGCTTGACCCAGTGACCCATCCTGACCCAGCTTTACTCAGTGACCCGTCCTGACCCGGTAGCCCAGTAATTAAATTATTGTTAGTTATCATCCAAAACAATTTCAAGTAACTTTTAATTAAAAAAAAACTTCCTCAATAATATTCGGCAACAAGCACGTAGCCCAATTTCATTCAAGAGAACTAATACCTAAAAAAATCAAATGCATTTGTTTATAGTTTGTAGTCAAGTAGTCAATGAAAGTATTTAGAGAAAAGATTTATTTGGATTAAGCTAACTAGTAGAAAAAAATTAAATGTGAATGAACACCTGTAAGCAAACTGGAAAGCCCTGAAGCAAAGAAATAAATTATTCTAATACAATTCGGGACATGGAAAGTTTTTTACGGCAGTATTAAAGCAAACATCACAGAAATGGCAGTTGTCAAGCAATCGAGTATTATTTTCAACAAACCAGCATTTCATTTATTGCATAATCTGTACACTTGAACCGAAGGCACTGACTTAACTGCGTTATTCAATCAAACTAGGTGACTGGGTCGAATTGGGTCCCCGGGTGAAATTGCGTCGCTGGGTCAAACTGGGTCACTGGGTCAAGTTGGGTCACTGGGTCACTGGGTCAAACTGGGTCAACTGGGTCACTGGGTCTAACTGAAAAGAGTATGACGTGACCCAGCGACCCAGTGACCCAGTTTAATTTAGTGACCCAGGTGACCCAGTTGACCCAGTGACCCAGCGACCCAGTCCAACTCTGTTTATTACTGATGCCATAAGAGTTCCTTTTTTGCTGTTGTCAGTTTGATTTTCAGATTTTTGTACTTACGAAAGGTGAAATATTGTGTTTGATTTACAATAAAATAAACTCTTCGTCTATTAGGATTGTAATATTTAAACTCTTAGAAAATCGTGCACAAAATTCGTTTTTTTTAAATAAATCTAACTACCAATTAGTAATTAAAAAACAATACAAAACTTTTTATGTTTTCTTGGGGGCGAATCTTTCTGGGGCGAATCTTACGGAGGCGAATAGTCCGGGGGCGAATTTACTTGGGGGCGAGTTTTCTTGGGAGCGAATATTCCGGGGGCGAAATTTCAGGGGCGAATTTTCGGGGGCGAATCATCCTACAATCACCAGCACATCATACGACAATTCTGGAAGCAGTGGTCCAGAGATTATTTAACATCTCTTCAAGTGAAAACAAAAACCAAGTCCTCAGATGCTTCGTTAACAATTGGGGATCTAGTGCTACTCCAAAGCGATACAGAACCTCCTAACGAGTGGCTCCTAAGAAGAATAACACAGACACACCCCGAGAGCGACAAAATTACCTGGGTGTGTTTAGTTTAGATTTAGTTTAAGTTAAACTTTAAGAACATGTATTTGGCAACAGATAAGTTTAAACGGCCTTTATTGTTTTACCCCCAAATTAAACTGCTATTTAGTCTTTCAGGCCTTCAGAAAGACAACATCTATGTATTAGTTCTGCACTTTCATTAAAATCAAATGAACCAGAATTTCATTTATTTCTTAGTACCAGTACCACTTTTTATTGTCCAATATTGACATATTTTGGTGAGTACTAGTACTGGTACGTTGATTTATGAGTGAATTGATTATTTTCTAATCGTCTCGCTAATATTTTTCCTGGCTTCGTTATCTTGGAATTGAATTACCTAACAATACGCCCAGAATGAATTAGTTTTGCAGTGAATTATTTACTCTATATCGAGATGAAGTAAGCAAATGTGAGTATACAGGGTGACACTTTTAAAACTTTCAATGGGCGATATCGTTTTTTATATTAGAGATATCACAAAATGGCCAAAACCGTTTCGGTAGAATCGAGGGGGAAGCAAAATGGTCGTATAAAGAAGGAACCAACTTCAACCTCGTACCCCCCGCCACCCCATGCCTAAATTTTGAATTGTGACGTATCACTTGTGATACATCATTGGAAAGCTCTTAAAAAATGCTTTCAAGTGTATGGTATTTCTGAAAAGCATTTTTTAAGAGCTTTCCAATGATGTATCACAAGTGATACGTCACAATTCAAAATTTAGGCATGAGGTTGGCGGGGGGTACGAGGTTGAAGTTGGTTCCTTCTTTATACGATCATTTTGCTTCCCCCTCGATTCTACCGAAACGGTTTTGGCCATTTTGTGATACCTCTAATATAAAAAACGATATCGCCCATTGAAAGTTTTAAAAGTGTCCCCCTGTATAAGAAAATACATCCCTACGAAAAACTTTTAATATTGGAAGAGATTTAGAAAGGCGACGGGCAAAACTTTAGAACGGTTCGTGGATTCTGTTAGTTGATCGTAAGTTAATTGAAGGATTTCTATTTAAATTCCTGGAGAGTATACTTGAATGGCTTACTAAAGAAACAAAATTTGTAGAAGCTGAATAAGTTACATTATGCAGTGAAGTTTGTGAACGAAGTTACATTGAGGATAATCAGGGGTGCAAAAATCCAAGTATTAGCAAAAATTGACGAAAGCTCACCGTTTGCGTCCTTCGCCTCTAATCCTTCCGCTTCCATTACGACGACGCTCAGGACTACAATAGGCGGTTTCTCCTCCCCTGCTAAATGCAACATTCTGTAATGCCGATCGGGAGGTACACCAAACGCACGCTGGCCGTAAAGGTACAGGTCCTCCTTGTAATGCGCGTATTGTCCTCCTGGAGCGGGTGCACCAACCTGCAATTACGTAAGAAATGAACCCCTCAATTTTGTATGTGGAAAATTTCGCTACTTACAGAATTGGCGATTGTATACAGCATTTCGACATAAAGTTGATCCTTCTCATTCTGAGGTGGTGTGTAATCTATCGGAATAATGCCCAAATCGATCTCCTGAGGTGGCGGTTCGGCCGCCGCCACCTCAGCCGTTTTCAGCGCGTTTTGACGCTGAGCGTCCTGCTGCCACGCCAAAGCCGTAAAACTCTCAAAATATTGTCCATCGATCTCCTGAACTCTGAAACAAACATAATTCGATAACGCAACGTAGCGTTTTCCAATTTGGTAAACTTTCGTAGTGAGGGACGAGTTGGAAAAGAAAATGAGCAAGATTCGCATGCGGGAGAGAGATTGAAATTTTCGACTGCTCGTAAAGCCTAGCGGGTTTCTCTACATTCTGGGTAACAAAGTTAAAAGCTTCCTCAGTTGCGACGCTCCGAAACTGCTTTAAATATTTACAAACATCACGCGTAAGAGTTACAATCTCTGTCATTTGAAGCTTCTATCCGCATTATCGCACTTTTTATTTATTCATTTTTAAAGCCGCCGTTACCAGGAGTCAAAATATAACCTTTTCGTTCCCTTTTTATTCGAGTTTGGATTGCTTACGTGCCTCATTAATGTAGTAAGTGTTCATAAAAACTTTGGCAGCACTCTCATAAAAGTATTATGCCCCCTTCGTTAATTCGTACCACTAGTTAAAAGTTATTTTAGTGACCATTATTATTGTTACGAGTTAAATGTGGAACAGAACAAAAGTAATAAGAATAAATGCAAATTGGTCTTCTTATATGGCGACAAAGCTGGGCAGAATACTTTTTACGTCCAGCACAAGCGAATACTAGATACAGATAAATTGAAAAGTATTCAAATACTTTAAAAAATAAGTATTCAAATACTTTAGAATGTATTCGAATACTTTCATAAGTATTCCAATACTTTGAAAAGTATTTCATTAACTTACTTTGAAAAGTATTCGAATACTTGTCACTCAAATACATTAAAAATTTAAAATAGTATACTAGATAAAAGTCTTAATACTACTTAAAAAATCAAGTTATACTTTGTAAGGGTTGGCTTTTTTTATATTTCTATTGTTATAATACAAATTTAAGGGGAGTAAAAGCGTAATATTATTATATTATTATATAGGAGGTATCTACCAGGACTTTTCTTATACCAGTTATATCCTTAAGAATACGTGTACCAGTTTTCAAAGCGTGGTGGATGAATAAGAAAAAGTGTTTTCCCGAGAAATTTTGGTGCAGTCGATTTTTGGTAAAAAAGGAAGGTTGTACACTGCCTTTTTTTCAGCCCCGAAAAAAAAATTGTCTCAGATCGACCCGGAAAAAAAATTTTCTTGTAGAATGTGGCCTGTAGAATCCATAATTTCAAACAGTTCCAAGATTGGGCTACTAGTTCAAAAGTTACAGCCCTTTGAATTTTCTTTCGAAATTGGTTTCTCGTCCGTAACTTTTGATTGAGAATTCTGATGGAAAAAGTACGAATTGTTTTGGATTCTACGCACCAAAATGAATAAGAAAAGTGTTTTCCTAAGAAATTTTGGAGTAGTCGATTTTTGGTAAAAAAGGAAGGTTATACACTGCCTTTTTTTGAGGCCCGAAAAAAAAAATTGTCTCAGATCGACCCGGAAAAAAAATTTTCTTATAGAATGTGGCCTGTAGAATCCATAATTTCAAACAGTTCCAAGATTGGGCTACTAGTTAAAAAGTTACAGCCCTTTGAATTTTCTTTCGAAATTGGTTTCTAGTCTATAACTTTTGATTGAGAAGTCTGATCGAAAAAGTACGAAATGTTTTGGATTCTACGCACCAAAATTAATAAGAAAAAGTGTTTTCCCGAGAAATTTTGGTGCAGTCGATTTTTGGTAAAAAAGGAAGGTTATACACTGCCTTTTTTTGAGCCCCGACAAAAAAATTGTCTCAGATCGACCCGGAAAAAAATTTTCTTATAGAATGTGGCCTGTAGAATCCATAATTTCAAACAGTTTCAAGATTGGGCTACTAGTTCAAAAGTTACAGCCCTTTGAATTTTCTTTCGAAATTGGTTTTTAGTCTATAACTTTTGATTGAGAAGTCTGATCGAAAAAGTACGAATTGTTTTGGATTCTACGCACCAAAATTAATAAGAAAAGTGTTTTCCCGAGAAATTTTGGTGTAGTCGATTTTTGGTAAAAAAGGAAGGTTATACACTGCCTTTTTTTGAGGCCTGAAAAAAAAATTGTCTCAGATCAACCGGGAAAAAAAATTTTCTGATAGAATGTGGCCTGTAGAATCCATAATTTCAAACAGTTCCAAGATTGGGCTACTAGTTCAAAAGTTACAGCCCTTTGAATTTTCTTTCGAAATTGGTTCTACTCTATAACTTTTGATTGAGAAGTCTGATCGAAAAAGTACGAATTGTTTTGGATTCTACGCACCAAAATGAATAAGAAAAAGTATTTTCCCGAGAAATTTTGGTGTAGTCGATTTTTGGTAAAAAAGGAACGTTATACACTGCCTTTTTTTGAGGGCTGAAAAAAAAATTCTCAGATCGACCGGGAAAAAAAATTTTCCGATAGAATGTGGCATGTAGAAACCATAATTTCAAACAGTTCCAAGATTGGGCTACTAGATCAAAAGTTACAGCCCTTTGAATTTTTTTTCGAAATTGGTTTCTAGTCCGTAACTTTTGATTGAGAAGTCTGATCGAAAAAGTACGAATTGTTTTGGATTCTACGCACCAAAATGAATAAGAAAAAGTGTTTTCCTAAGAAATTTTGGAGTAGTCGATTTTTGGTAAAAAAGGAAGGTTGTACACTGCGTTTTTTTCAGCCCCGACAAAAAAATTGTCTCAGATCGACCCGGAAAAAAAATTTTCTTGTAGAATGTGGCCTGTAGAATCCATAATTTCAAACAGTTTCAAGCTTGGGCTACTAGTTCAAAAGTTACAGCCCTTTGAATTTTCTTTCGAAATTGGTTTCTAGTCTATAACTTTTGATTGAGAAGTCTGATCTAAAAAGTACGAATTGTTTTGGATTCTACGCACCAAAATGAATAAGAGAAAGTGTTTTCGCGAGAAATTTTGGTGTAGTCGATTTTTGGTAAAAAAGGAACGTGCCTTTTTTTGAGGCCTGAAAAAAAAATTGTCTCAGATCAACCGGGAAAAAAAATGTTCTGATAGAATGTGGCCTGTAGAATCCATAATTTCAAACAGTTCTAAGATTGGGCTACTAGTTCAAAAGTTACAGCCCTTTGAATTTTCTTTCGAAATTGGTTTCTAGTCCGTAACTTTTGATTGAGAAGTCTAATCGAAAAAGTACGAATTATTTTGGATTCTACGCACCAAAATGAATAAGAAAAAGTGTTTTCCCGAGAAATAAGTATCCAAATAGTTTGCGAAGTATTCGAATACTAAATATGTGTGAAAGTATTTGAGTTACAAATACAAATACTGCTTCCATAAAAGTATTTAATTACAAAGTATTTGAATACTTTAAAGGATTTGAATAAGTACTAAAAAGTATTTACAAAATCGAATACTGCCCAGCTCTGTATGGCGATCACTATTTGCATATTGGTGAAAGTTGTGAACTGTTAATGAAGTTATACAGCTCTAAACTCCTTAGAAGTACAAATTCGAGATTCAGTCTCTTCAAGATGATCTCAACGGGGCGGTTGTAAACCACTTACTTGTCAAGAGATCCACAGCTATTAAACCGTCTCCATTGTGTAAATAGACGAGTAAATAAAAGATCGCAGACGCAATCAATGCGGGTCTTTGATGTGAATGTCCTTTATCTAACTTATTACGTGTTTTTTTTAAAGAAAGTGCCCTTCTAAATCCACAAAATAAATAATAGAGACGAAATAAATGGTATATCTTTTCAATAGGGATACATATTGACTTTCAATGATCCGTCGACGCGAAAGAAATGTACATAAATTGCGAGCCCGAAGTTATATGCTCACCCTCCGAATCGTCGAGTTCTACGAAAAAGCTTGCCGAAGGGAATTACTCACCCCGAGTGAACCTGATGATCAATTTCAGGCCACGAAAGTCTTCTACAACAAAACGAGTGCGGCTGTCGTTCCGGTGTCGCCTTCGGTGATCTCGGCTGTCTGAACGAGCCGGGACGGCGCGTTATCGGTGCCGGTGTGAGACATTCTAATGTACGACGTCGATTTTGCACTAAAGCGCTGGCCCCAGGTGCTGGAAGAACTTTAGGAAATCCGGGAGCGTTACTGTCGGTTGACGAACTACGAACACCTGGTGAATTATTTGTCTCCGTATCTTGCCTCGTTAGTGAGAACCTGTAACAAAAAAGGGACGATTAAAATGTACAACCGTAGGTGAATCATGCTTAATCTAGTTCATTTATCTCGGAAATTTGGTCAATTTACCATCCGCGCTCCGGGCATTGTGATCTAAGTAATTTACGTACTTCGCATTACATTCGTACATTGCGTAGATTGCGGAACCGCTTTCTGGGAGAGGAATCTTATCAACAATCGGTAAAACGATATAATAAATTCGTTGCATTTTACAGCTATAATGAGGGATGTAAGTTGAATGAAACAAATTTCAAAGATCATTATATACAAGAGAGACCGATAAAAAAAGAAGACTATCGAAGATGCATTTGTGTGTAACGATGAAATAGGTCCCATGAATTGAGTAATAGACCTGAAGATGGTGACACTTTTACTGGTGTGATTTGCTGCAAGTATGGCGAAGGTTTAATTAAGTACTCCTCAAAACGAAAATGGTGCTAACCCGATGGGAGTGGGGCCGTTATTGCGTGGACGATTGTTTAAACATGTCGCAAAATTTAATGATTTTTGACAACTTGCTACACAATTTTTTTAAATATATAATATATAAACAAAATGTGAATTATGGTGTGCCACAAGGCTCCATTCTCGGTCCTATTTTATTTATCATATATATGAATGATCTGCCCAATAATTTAATAGATACGTGTCACATTTGTACTTATGCAGATGATACTAGTGTAACTATTGCCTGCAGTCAAAACGACTTAAAATTCACCTTAAACAAATCTTTGGCATAACTAATCAACTGGTTTAATGCAAATAAACTTTTAATAGCTACTGAAACGTATCTTGACTGTACTATTTTGGATTGTGAATTATTTGATATAGTCGATCTGTTGTTACTATTCCGATATGTAATTAACCCCACTAAATGCAGAGTTAACTTTTTTTTTACCTCACGTCGACGATTAAACATAAACAAGTCTATTAAACAAACTGCATTGCGTTATTGTTGACGTGTAGAATAAGAATGAACAAAATACGGTACCGCAACTGATAAGCGATTCTAGGTCGTATCGCCTACGTCAAACAATGTTAATTAAGGTGAATTTCGCTTGCATCCAGTTTTGTTTACGGTAATGGTTTTACGCCTACATGATCCAATTAAACTGCAGTTCTAAAAATTTTATCGAATCTGATGAATTAGTTTCGGGCTCAGGCATTAAGCATCCGATTCGATAAAATTTATTTGATAGAACAGCAGATGAAAAGTCATACGAATTTTTAAACATAATGGGGTCTTATAATCTTATACAATTTAATCACATAGTCAATCATAAAGATTTTGTTCTCACAAATGTAAATATTACAGTAAATAAGTGTCATAGTCCTCTTGTATCTGAAAAACAATATCATCCAGCACTTGATACTGAGACATATGGAACGCCGTTTTACTTTTTATTACGAAAGTTTACAATGTAACATTATAAACAACAGTTAATTTTATTTCCCGATTTATTATGTTTGTTGTTTTTATGTGAAACATTAAATATGTTTGTTTAAAAAACTTCACTTAATTGAAATGATGTATGAATTATATAGCAAGGTGTATAACGAAAGTTTAACAATACAAATCAACAAACGAATACATAAACGAACAGTAATATAACTAACTAGAACTAATTCAACAAACATAAAAATTTATTCATATTAAATGTGGGATTAAAATTATGAACAAACATTTTAATTCAACAATCATATTAATTCAATTATTGAAGTGTTGTACAAATATTCCCAACAATCATTTTAATTCAACAATCATATTAATTCGTGCTGTTAAAATGGGAAAGCATTATTTAAAATGATTGTTGAATTAAAATGTTACATGAATTAAAATGTTTGTTGATAATTTTAATTCGTATCTGTGATTGTGCGGAAGTTTCAGGAACTATCCTTTAGTGTATTTGGGTACGTGTATACTAGCGCCTAATTAAAATTATCAACAAACATTTTAATTCATGTAACATTTTAATTCAACAATCATATTCATTCAACAATCATTTTTAAAGATTCTTTTACTACGTCTAACAATAAAAATGTATTTGTTTGTTGAATTAAAGTGATTGTTGAAAATATTCGGCTTCAATTTTCAAATCGTCGAATTTATATGACTGATGAATTAAAATGTTTGTTGATAATTTTAATTCCACATTTAAAATGAATGAATTTTTATGTTTGTTGGACAAAATCGTTTTATTAATCGAAGTATTTCTTGCAATTCAATTTAATTGTTTGTTATTAATTGTTTGTTGAAATACAGTTTCATATACACTCATTCAATATAACAATATAATTCATTTCACATTTTTATTAAGTAACATTCTTTAAACAATCATATTTAATACGTAAGACAATAACAACAAACGTAAAAAGTAGAGGCATACGATTGACTGTTATTTAAAATGGCACATTGTAAAATTTTGGAATAAAATTGTACAAATATTTTCAGAGAACATTTTAATTCAACAATCATATGAATTCATGCTGTTAAAATCGGCAAGAATTATTTAAAGTGATTGTTGAATTAAAATGTTACATTAATTAAAATGATTGTTGATAATTTTAATTCGTATCTCTGATTGTGCGGAAGTTTCAGGAACTACAGTTTAGTCTATTTGACTACGTGTATACTAGCGCCTAATTAAAATTATCAACAAACATTTTAATTCATGTATCATCTTTATTAATCAACATTTTTTTAATCAATCTCTTAATACGTAAGATAAAAACAACAAACGAAAAATTTAGAGACATAAGATTGACTGTTATTTAAAATGATACATGATAAAATGTTGGTATAAATACTAAAACGGCGTTCCATAGAGACATGCTTAAAATAAAATCCACTTTCGCAAGTCCACAATATACGAGTAATTACAAAAAGGGTAACTACTTGACTTTGTATCACACATTTTCTAACACGAATTAGAATTCTTTAAACCAATTTTCCGAAATAAACGCAGTATTCCATAAATTTTATACAATTACCATTATCAAAGATATACAGAGAAAACACCGCCTTTTTAAAAAAAACTTAAAAGGAAATGCACAAACGAAGAGTTGTGTACATAATTTCAACCAATCAGCCGGAAAATTAAGGATAACATCAAGGAAGCGTATGACAATTTCACAAGCTCACCTGAAAATGATGTATCTACGAATACCAAGACGTTTTGGCGTTACATAAAAAAGATCTAACGAGACGTTCTGTACGAAAATGCACTATAATAACGACACCTTACAATATACTGATATTGCCAGCGGGTTTGGGCGTTATTTCCATTCGGTCTATGACAATCCACCATTTAATATCAATCATATATCGACCAATTTAGTGAAATTCACATCAATAAAGTGACCTATGAGGATGTTATTGAGGCCGTGAAGGCGTGAATATTTTAAAACCGAACATAGGCAATTAACATGGGAAAAACGTTTTTTGCAGATCGTTGCTCCCCATGTTAACTTAGAGGGTTTATTATGACACCAATCAAAAGAAGATTTTTTTAGTTTATTTTCAGGCGTATTTCTCATTATTTTTTCAAAACTTCAGCAATAGGCAAGTCCCATTAGCAAAATCATGTTAAGCCATGGAAATTTCCTAAAGGATTGAAATAGGTTTTCACACAGACGGAATGGGACGCTCAAATTAAAAGCACGGAAAACAAATATCGCGTACTAGAGCAAATATTTCCGCTGTAAACGTTGTTTATTATATATACTTTGTCCTCAGTGAAATACATTTTACAAAAAAATTAATGCCAGTTGTCATAAACTGATATTGATTTCGACGTTTGAATCTGCTTTTTGATTTACTAGTCATGGCTTCACATTATTTTTGGTAAGTGGATTTATTGCCGAATTTTTGATAAAATAGTGAGAAATACACCTGAAAATTAATTCGTATATATCATTAGACGAGGAAAAAAATCTTCTTTCGATTGGTGTCATTATAAACCGTCTAAGTTAACCTGGGGAGCAACTATCTACAAAAAAACCTTTTTCCCATGTTAATTCTCTATAGTCGGTTTGGGAATTTTCACCCGATATACAGGGTGGTGCGTAGCGCGACGCAGCATAGGGATTTTAATGGTAATTTCTTTATAGTCAATTACTAGCTCCCCTAAGTATTTTAGAGCAAAAGTATAAATACGTTTTTTTAGAGAAAAAAATACTGCATCTGTTCATACTAGTACTTATAATTTTCCGTTTTTCAAAACCGTAGAAATCGACAAAATAAAAAGGTTCATTTTACAATAAATCAAATATGCCTTGCTCGAAAATATTTGAAGCAATATTGTTATTATTTGAGTTCACAAAAGATATTTGTACAACTAGAGAAGAAAGTTTTACACATCATTTTTTCTGAAACTATAATCAAAATTAAAAAATTATCGAATACAATGATGAAGTTTGCCACATACCAATCGAGATACGGGTATGTTTCAATTTTAAATGTCATTATTAAGATCAACGCAGCAATTGTTTTTTACTTTCCTCACTAAAGAGGAAGATCACATTTTCTTCCCCCTTTTTAAAGACTAAAGTATTATCAGATTTAGTATTATCAAGCACACATGCTAAACCAGAATTACAAAAATTACATGTGATTGCCGGCCTGTGTGGCGCAGTTCAGTTGAAGCTGGACTGTGGTGCTAGGGTCCCTGGTTCGAATCCGGGTTCGGGCATGGATATTTGTAAATGTATAGTGGGTTGGGTTGGTAGAGCAGCCTTGGCTGAAACCCCGCCCACTCAAAAATAAAGGCTAAATAAATAAATAAATCAATAGTCGTACCATTTCCAGCTCCCAGCCTAGTTGCGAAACGGCGACTGTTGCACCACAAGGATAAATGTATACCAATCTAAATCACTATCTGCCGTAATCAAGTAAAGTTTCTTTTGTCCAATGAATTCGAGCTATTTCAAATGCTACGTGAGATTTTAAGTATTTTTAAACTCCTGTGTCCAGTCGACCG